ACTTTGATGCAAATGTATGCAGCGTAATGTGGACATAGCAAATGTTGTTTCACCAGAACATCAGTTGACATTTGTGAAGACATATAGTTTGTAAGGCATCTTAGCGGAAAAGGTGAGACGCATATTTTAAAATGTTACACTGCACCGATAGATCGTCAAGACTGTCAAATTTTGCTATTTGATGGTTGGTACACCGCTTTATTTTTCATGTTCGCAGGTTCGATTCCTCGCACGGTACAAATATCTGTATTCATGAGTATCAATCTGGGTGCTTTCCATACAAGTTATGTATATTTTCAAAAATAATTTTATAGGGTATCATATAACTTCTAGACCTAAAAAGGATGTCTCCTGATATCGACGTATCTCATTCGAAATTTATCGTATATCGATACTTACTGATCGATTATTACTATCGATGTCAACATCGATATTTTTCTAATATCGGTCATCTCTCTCGATATAAAATGGTATACCCGATTTGAAATATCATATACTTTAGGCAAACGGTGGTAACTTGAGGCAGGTGTTATTTAAAACTTGTTAAATCTTAACGCAACTGGGTCGGTAAGCGGTCCGGTAACGTAACCGCGCTGGTGACTTCGGGGCGTTCCGGGTTTCAGCGCCGAGTTTTTGTGGAAACTCAGCGGAAACTTCGCGCAACTCTGTTTCAAACTCCTATACAATCAGGGTACGGTTCGGTAAATTTCAAATTCAATACAAGTTGCTACATGTTTATTTTATGAATTAATTCCAAGTTACGGTAAGAAAATTGTGTAGGCTGATCTAATCTCCTTCCAAATGAAGACGTCAACTTAGTTCTGGACATTACGTTTGTGTGCCTTTCGAGATCCTTTTAATAAGTCAAAGGAAAGCTTTTTGGATTTAAATGTAAACATACCTTTGTAGCACAAAATATAAAACAATAAAAGAAGAAAGAAGGTGCTTAAACTTCCTTCCCTAAATTTATGGAAAACTTCTTATTCTTTCATGCTCATCTGGTATTAGTTAATTCAAGAAAAAATTGAAACTACCTACCATGGTTTTATCAACTTATTATTATTTCTTATGATAAAATATTTATATCTAATATATATGTATATTCATATATATTATATTATATTTGTATAGCTGTTTAAGTCACAGAGTTTATTTTAGCACTAATTATTACCCACACATTACTACCCATGCCACTGTTTTGGCCTGAACACGTTTAAATTATTTCATAAAAATACTATATTACTATACTGTACTATTTACTAAGTGCAATAAAGTATTATAAATAAAATAAATTCTTCTCAACAAAATATTAGATTATACAGAGAAAATTAATTATAGCGTAATTAACTTGAAACGGGCAATCTAGTTTTGTTTAAAGTGAAATTAAAATCTAACAACACTGTAGATAGGAAACAGAACATGTATGAAAATCCAGATCAATATCTACGAATTTATGTTAGTATTGTACGAGGATCGAATACACGACCACCGAAAAGTAAGGCAGTACGCTAAACAACCATACCACCGAGGTCATCCATTGAAAACCAGTTGAAACACCTCGTCACAGCAATAATGTTAAAGTCATAAATTCACACAAATTAATCAGTATTAATCTTGATAATAAAATTGCCATATTTATCGAATATAATATAAATAATTTACTACGCACACGAATATAGATTGAACTAGCTATACCCGCGACTTCGTCCGCGTGGATTTTTTTTTTTCTAAAATAAAAGGTTTTTTCTATAGAAATAGAAATAATCTTTATTCAAATAAACTTAATATCACTTTGGAATAGTCAAGTTTTTTGATTCTACCGCTCATTCGGTATGCAGTCGTCTCATCACAAGAAACTTGCGTCTTGCTCTTTTAATATATATAATAAAATATAATCTTATTTTATCCCTTGGTGAGTGCATTGGTATTGTACTGTAATACTCACTGAGAGCATGTAATTTTATAAATAAATAAATAAATAATCTATAATAACAGTATGCCTAAGTTACTCCTTATTACATCAGTTACCTGCTAAAAAAAGTCCCGTCTAAATCGATCCAGCCATTTCAGAGATTAGCCGGAACAAACAGACTGACGGACAGACAAAAATTGTAAAAAATATTATTTTAATATGTATACCATAAATGTGTATAATAAATAATTATTTTGTGTTTAAATTATATGTATCTGTATGTAGTAAAAACCCCGCATCTTAGTTTTTTTTTTATGAGTAATGGGGGCTGCCTGAAAACCAGCGCTGTATAGGTGCACCTCACTAAGGTTGTGCTATATCAGCAACAGCTGAGGCAGCTCCTATTGCCAACTTCCATGTTATTATTTATTTCTCATTTTGTGTCTTATTGTAAATTGTATTATTTGTGTTATGTTGGCAATAAATCTATCTATCTATTTATATTCATATGCATGTAGTAAAAAACGGTTATTTCAATATTACAAACAGATACTCCAATTTTATATATATATGTATAAATATTAATATTACGTATATAAAATTGGTCGGTCCATTGAACGGCAGTAATTATTCATTCAATGTGTACCGCCCGAGGCTGCGGTTGGTATGTCGTGGCCAAATTTCAGAATTGAATAACATCATAATATACTCAATCAGTCATTGCGAGAAACTGCTGTTTATTGAAAATCTATACATATAAAAAAATTGGGGTTTGCACCTTGCGAGGAATCGAACCCGCGGCCATTGGCCACCGAGGTCGTCATTATATAATTAATTTATATAGACTTCAAGAGTAATTTTATTACGAAACGCTACCATTTCAAGACCTTGAATTTATGATATGAATAATTCTATAATCTGGTTACGACACTTACGACTATTACATACATACTGATTTACAATTCAGAATGGTAATAGTAAATTCGACAAGACCGTTATCTGGGGGCGTAGCTCAGATGGTAGAGCGCTCGCTTAGCATGCGAGAGGTACCGGGATCGATACCCGGCGCCTCCAAACTCTTTTTTGTATTATTAAAAAACTATTCACTAAATTTCATTTTAAACTTTAAAACCAGTATATTTTTTATTTAAGTATAAATAAATTAAAATTTTGTGTAATTTTAATTTGAAAGAAATATTAGTGTTATCCTATCAAGTGTGCTTTACTGTCTATATATCTTATTAATTGTTACTCTAAAGCAAAAATTATTGCAAAGGATTTCGATGAAACTTTACAGCAATATAGCTTATAAATAAGAATAACACATAGCCTATAAATTCTATCCGTGTGAAACCGCGGGCACAGCTAGTAATGCATATTCATGTTGGACAAATATTTATTGCATTCAGTTTTAATATTATTCAGACTGCAGTATAACATCTGCATTTTAAATAGGATGAAACTCTGCAGGAATAATAAACAATAGCCACTCTACAGAATCATAATAAAATGTAATAAGAGATGGAATGAAATATATTTTTTACTAGCTGCTCCCGCGACTTCGTCCAAGTGGAAATTAACTTTATTCTTCTAAAATAAAAGTAGCCTAAGTTACTCCTTATTACATCAGCGACTTGCCAAAAAAAGTCCCGTCAATATCGGTCCAGCCATTTCAAGATTAGCCGGAACAAACAAACCGAAAGACAGACAGACAAAAATTATAAAAAATGTTATTTTGGTATATGCACCGTATATATATTCATATGCATGTAGTAAAAAACGGTTATTTCAATATTACAAACAGACACTCCAATTTTGTTTGTATGTATAGATATATTGATGTAATTATAATGCAAACAAGCAGATGAACCACCTGATGGTAAGTGGTAACAGTTGTATGTGACGGCCGTGATACCACCCAGGTCTTGCCGTTCTGAAGAACTATGATGTCACGCTGTAATTAAACTGCTATAGTTCACCTTTTAAACTAAACACAGGTTATAAAAAGCAAGCTGCTATATGAGAACCAGTGGAAATGACTTTGAAGAAAGTGTACCTCTGAAAAATAAGGCAGAGTCATTATCAACTGTGGACGTTATGATGAACACAATACTTGACTTGCCCACATTTGACCGCATTCAGAAATGAGCAGCCAGAATCATTGGTAAACAACGTCTGTGTGACAGACTCGACCCATTGGATCTGCGGCGAGATATTGCAGCTCTGTGCATTTTCTACCGCATATATCAAGGAGAGTGTTCTAAGGAACTATTCGGATTTAGTATCACATGATAAATTGCGTTAAAAATGCGATTGAATTGGAGTGCTATAGTGGCTATACCTACCACAAATTAAAATACCATTCTGCTCATCTCGACGAATATTGGTCCTACACTAGGCGTTTTTCCAGAAACTTTTTGCCACGCACAATCACATTATGGTATCACCTCCCAGCAATGGTTTGCACCAATACGATATTGAAACATTCAATAACAGCTTATTCCCTCTTAAAAGGACGGCAACGCACTTGCAATTCTCCTAGTGTTAGGGGTGCTCATGGGCGGCGGTAATCACTTACTATCAGATGAGGGGACCTATATCTTATTCAGGGGACCTATGCTAAGCTTTTAAATCAAATCAGAATAAAATCAAATCAAAATATCTTTATTCATGTAGGTCTATTGCAGACTCTTATGATATGTCAAATCTACCGTCAGTTCGGAATGATTTCGAGTTGAGAGGAACTGACAAGAAACTGAGCTCGTATTCTTTTCAAATTAATATTATACATATTTACATTAATAATATTATAACACTTTTTATTTTAATTAAAACATTTATTTGTGATAGTAAATAATTCAATGAAATGTAAATTAGTAATTACAACGTATTTATTACTTGTAGTAATAATTATTTTTTATTAAAGCAAACTGTTGGAAATGATCGATTGTCGTTAATTCATATAGCGTGCTTTCCAGCTAAGAAGAACATATTTCACTCTGTATATTTGATTTCAATGTGACTGCACGTGAGTGTACGACCGTAAAATTACTTCTCCGCACAAATGGAAATAGAAAGAGTATCTTACCGATCCCTTCCGTCCGGGGAAGCTGAAGAAAACATCAGGGCCGTTCCTGTGCGGCATCTGACGGAGCACGTTCAGCAGCTTGGCGGAGTGACGCGGCTGAAACAACCATACCATTGTCAATATCACAGGTTCACAACTCGAAGAGTAAAACAATAAAATCACAAAAGTACTAGTTGTCCCGGTAAACGTGTTTCGCCATATAAATTGAAGTATATCGCTATTAAAAAATAGGGGTTGGTGATTGTTGTAATGTGTGATGGAATAAATGTTATTCTATTCTATGCTATACAAGGGTGAAAATTTAGGGTTGTAAGTAGTTTTTGGTAAAATATTTTCTTTCTTTCAAATTTGAAATTATAAACTTATAATATTTTTTTAAATTAATTATTCGATGCAAGTATCGTTTGCATCAAATAATTAATTAAAAAAAATATTGTCTGTCGGTTTGAGCTTGCTAATCCCTGAAACGATGCATCCGTTTTGATGAGACTTTCACTCGCAGATAGCTAATGTTATACGCATTGAAGGCACCTAGGAGGATGTAAGAATGACACGGTACAAACATTTGTATTCATGAGTATGATTGTTTGTATCGATCTGGGGTTTTCTATGTATTTACGACAAAAATATAATATCTATCTATCTTCTGTCTGTTTGTTCTTGCTAGTCTTTAAAACGGCTGGACCCTTTTTGACGAGACATTCACTCGCAGATAGCTAACGTTATGCACATTCGAGGCACCATTGGTGGATGTAAATGACATTAGATGCGTAAGTAAAAACAGGACTCAAACAGAAAATAAAATGAAAAACGTGTTTCAGCTTTGAAGAGCCCAAATAATTTTAGTTCAAACGTTACTTAGAAAAAGGTTTATAATGCAATGTGCGTGACAAATCATTCATCAATGAGATTGCGATCGTTCAATCAATTTAAGTACGGATTTGACAGCAATGTAGTACGACAGACTTATTATTAGGTAAGTGGCAAGTCAGGTAACATAGTATGTTAAATTTGATTAACAATCTCGATATCTGATTCAGACTTTACTGCCGAACTCTACGGGTACTTTGCATAATATTATATATACTATATTTTTGAATAATATATGTGTTAGCTGTCAGAGGACAGCAACACATATATTATTCAAACTAGAGAGTTTCACCCGCGTTAAATCATTACATAGTATAAAACAAAGTCGCTGTCGCTGTCTACATAAAAACTGCTGAACTGATTTTGATAAAACTTCACGGTAATATAGCTCATACATCAGTATAATATATAGGCTATATTTTATATAGAAACTACCCAACCTGACTTCGCACGGGTGTACATGTATTATATATATAAACCTTCCTCTTGAATCACTCTATCTATTAAAAAAATCGCTACAAAATCCGTTGACAAGTTTTAAAGATTTAAGCATACATCATTATCAAGATTTAAGCATCAATCATTACAAAATAAAGTCGCTGTCGCTGTCTGTCCGTACATAGGGATATGTACGGACAGACAGCGACAGCGACTTTATTTTATACTTTGTAATAATTGCATAATATAAATCATTTTAATATAGTTTTCTACGGCCAGAAGCAAAAAATTGTTACACGTGTATTGGCTGTATGAACGCGATGCTTTTGCCGCTGTCAAACAGACAGTGACAGTTGAGTTTACATAAAACTTTTGTTTAAATATTTTGATTTTTATTTGCCTATCATCTTTAAATTATAATTTCTTCTCGATTTTCTCCAAATAAATAAAACCGTCTTTCTAGAAAACCTGTATCTCATGAAGAAATCTATAACATCTAGTTAATTTGTCGTTGGCGGTAAACACGTGGTCTTTTAAACAATCTGTGGTTAAATAGCATATCTACCGTTTCTATCGCTTCAAAACTCTTCAAATATTATACCACCCAGAACTCTGCATTTCGTGAAATAATTTGGTTAGAAATCACGAAATAACTGTCACCTAAGAGTTAGGGAGTGAAATATCGAGCTCCTAAAATATAAGGGACTAGGGACTTAGGAGTCACCTAAAGGTTGATGAAAACGAATTTCATACTAGCGGTCTCCTAAACTGACGTTAAGTGGCCCCTGAACTTAGGTAGACGTTGGTGAAAACGTACACGCGTGAGAACGTACGCCCCCGCAATACCGCTTTCCGTACCAGGGTTGCATAAATGAACAGGATACACTGTACGTAGTCGTCAATGCGACCAAATACAAGAGACCCACTAAATGTACATTTACAGCACAATTAGCCGTGCTGCCAATGCTTTCTGAATTTGTATCGTATTCGTAGTAATGGGCACTGCGGCCAAACAGTAATTAACCAGTTGCGGCCGGTTAGTTTGTTTGTTTGTTGTTCGTAAATATTACCTGGCAGAAACATGTTTTTTTTTTGTTTACTGTGAAATAAACAAAGGTTTTATTGTGTATTGTATAAAAGAGATGTAATACAACTTTGTGATTCAATTAGAAAATATTTTAATTATATTTAATAAATGCATAGGGAGTACAGTTAATAATAATAATAATCTCAGTACAATTCACACAGAGCTACTTAGTACCAAGTTAAGCTAGCTAAAGCTTGTGTTATAGGTACTAACTGATAAATACATACATATATATTTTTTTTTTCGTAAATACATGCATATTATGTATAGAAAACACTTAGACTGATATAAACAATCATACTCATTCAATAGAAATGTTTGTGCCGTGGAATCGAACCCGCGACAATCGGAAGTAAGGCGGTGTGCTAAACCGCTAGACCACCGTGGTCGACTGTTGGTTCCATAAAAACTGTGTAATATGTATCAAACATTATTATTTTTATATAAAATGTATGGAAAACATATTGACGGCCAACATGACGGAAAGAAGTAAGTCTCGCCTATACCCACGAAAAATACCAGCTTCTAAATAAAAAAAGAATCATCAAAATGCAAAATTTTGTTGAATGTGTATAACCTCTAGTTTTATATTTTTTATATATTATATCAAAGACAAAAAGGCAATGATAATATAATCTCTGATATTTACTGACTAGTGTCATATATCTTATATATAAAATTCTCGTATCACAATTTTCGTTCCCATACTCCTCCGAAACGGCTTGACCGATTCTCATGAAATTTTGTGAGCATATTGAGTAGGTCTGAGAATCGGCCAACATCTATTTTTTATCCCCCTAAACGTTAGGGGTAGTCCACCCCTAATTTTTTTTTTATTTTAAGGCAAAACAACGTTTGCCGGGACAGCTAGTAAAAATATATGTATTTATTATAAAAAAAACAGACAATAAAAAGATATATAAAACAGTATTGAAAATACTTTCTTCTTTTTTATAGGTCAAAAAAGAAAGAAAAAAACTTACCCATTTGCCATTAACAGCTTTCATAGCGTTGAACAGCTGCTTCAGCTCCTTCACGGTGACGCTGTAGCTTGCCAGCACGCCCAGCATCTCGATGAGCAGATCTGTAACAAATTATACATCTTACTAATTACAAACGCGAAAGTTTGTGAATATGGATTGGCAGATAGATGTTTGTTACTTTCACGCAAAAACTACTTAACGGATTTTGATGAAACTTTACAGTAATATAGCTTATACATCAGAATAAACCATAGGCTATAATAGGCGAACTATAATAATTAACGCCTGACGATGCCTCGTTCAGAGGCGAAACACGTGTCGCGATATGGGTGTAGACTCAATAACGGTCGGAATTTTATCACCACTGGAGAAGGTCGTAGCGCTGGTCAGGTTTCCACACCGGATATTCGTAGTCTCACACATGTTAATTGTAACGGAATTGAACAAAATAATATATATCCATCGAGTAGTAAGATATATAACAATTATATGCACCATACAGCTATATTATGTAAACTCCACTGTTTACCTCTAAATCAGTCTCGTTCAATTAATAATTCAACTGTACCAATCTGAACTGAGCCAATCTAATGGAAACGTACCTGAAACTATTAGTGATCGTGTAATAAATGCACTAGTCGGCATAATGTAAATTTACTTACTCTACAGCAGTGATTCCCAAAGTGGTCTATATCGACCCCCAGGGGTCTATGACAAACAGCGAGGGGTCTATTACAGCGGTCATCTTGTTGTTTTTAACATTAAACTTTACTACAGTTAGAAATTTACAAAAAATCAATGCCAGGTAAGAATGGGGGGTCTACCCAAAAACCGAAAAATATGGCAAGGGCTCTACAGCAAAAAAGTTTGAGAACCTTTGCTCTACAGCATTATTAATATGCGCACATCAAACTTTAACTTAGTCAACTAATAGTTAAATATATATTTAACTACTAGCTGTACCCATGTATTCGTCCGCGTGGAATTTGGTGGAAACTTTATTTTTCTAAACAAAGGAATTTTTCTAAAACAAAACTAGATTTTTATCTGTCTGCCTGTCAGTTTGTTTTGGATAATCTCTGAAATGGCTGGACCGATTTTGGCGGGACTTTTTTTGACAGGTAGCTGAATAGAATAGAATAGAATAGAATAGAAAATCATTTATTCAAATAAACTTAATTTAAGCACTTTTGAATAGTCATAACAAATTGTTTTTTATCTACCACTCGTTCGGAAGGTAAAGGAGTAACAAGTTAAGTTACATAGGTTAGTTTTAGTTGGGCTACTTTTATTTTATAAAAATAAAGTGTATATCCACGCGGACGAAGTCGCGAGTACAGCTAGTTATGAATAAAAGAATTGATACAAATATATACATAAATAAAATTAATAATTTGTAAAATACATTTAAACTAATTATTGTAAACTCAACATAAGTATTCCAACAACAACATTGAGTTACAAAGTTAATTGGTACATTCTGAAAATATGTACATTAAAACCTAGAATGATACATATGCCACTAGCACGAGTATAGGATTATAAATTATATTTCAGTAACTTAAGACGCGTTTTTGCAAGTATTAAAATAACAATATGATAGAAGAGTGTCTAAGTTGTAGATAAATTGTAAACATATAAAATCTACAATGATACATATGCTATCTGCACTAGTATAGAATTATAAGTTCTATTCTCAATAACAATAGAAGCGTTTTTGCAAGTATTAAAATAACAATATGATAGAAGAGTGTCTAAGTTGTAGATAAATTGTAAACATATAAAATCTACAATGATACATATGCTATCTGCACTAGTATAGGATTATAAGTTCTATTTCCCATAACAATAGAAGAGTTTTTGCAAGTATTAAAATAACAATATGATAGAAGAGTGTCTAAGTTGTAGATAAATTGTAAACATATAAAATCTACAATGATACATATGCTATCTGCACTAGTATAGGATTATAAGTTCTATTTCCAATAACAATAGAAGCGTTTTTGCAAGTATTAAAATAACAATACGATAGAAGAGTGTCTAAGTTGTAGATAAATTGTAAACATATAAAACTATAATGATACATATGCTATCTGCACTAGTATAGAATTATAAGTTCTATTTCCAATAACAATAGAAGCGTTTTTGCAAGTATTATACTGAAATAGAAGTGTAAATGTCATAGTTGCAACCTGCACTGGTATAGGATTATAAATTCTGTTTTCAACAGCACTAGCAGCGTTTTTGCAACAATACGATAGAAGTGTAAATGTCAGAGTATCGAAATTTGATCGATTCAGGTAGTACATATTAATTTCAGGTAAATTGTTGAAACCACACCGGGGACCCTGGGACCCTATCAAATTTGGATCGCCCCGCACTGTGAAGGTGTGCGTCAGACTAAATTAATTTAGCAATTTAGCAATATCGACGAGAACCGCCACTGGGAGTTCGCTTCTCCGGTGCGGCAATTCAATTTTATACAAAATACTTCTACTTCTACTGCTACCCGCAACTCTATCAGCGTGGAAATGAACGTTTTATTTAAATATATATAAAAAGAGCCTAGATTACTCGTTATAATATTAGCTATCTGTGAGTGAAAGTCCTGTTAAAATCGGTCGAACCGTTTCAGATATTAGATCAGTGTAAATATGAAATGTTTTACTAATAATTAAGTAATAAATGAAATAATTAGATTACATACAAAACATATAGGTACATCGCAGTAGCAACAAGAGAGTATTTATAATAACGTTAAAAAATTATAGTAATATATAATTTTTTTAACGTTAATATAAATAGCGACCCGTCCCGCCTTCGCGTGGATGTATTACAAGTCTTTGAATTTCTCGGCTTGTTCTATACTATAACTTCCATGTATCTATACATATAAATAAAATTGGAGTGTCTGTTTGTAATATTGAAATAACCGTTTTATACTTCATGCATATGAATATAAATAAGGAACATACTCCAGAAAAACCACTTTTTAAAAATTTTGTCTGTCTGTCTGTCGTTCTGTTTGATCCGCCTAATTTCTGAAACGGCTGAACCGATTTTAACGGGACTTTTTTGGCAGGTAGCTGATATAATAGAGAGTAACTTGGTTACTTTTAATTTAGAAAAATAAAGTTAAATTCCACGCGGACGAAGTCGCGGGTACAGCTAGTTATACATATAAATCTTCCTCTTGAACCACTCTATCTATTGCTGAAAACTGCATTAAAATCCATTGCGCAATTTAAAAGATATAAGCGTGGAAACAACGGCGGGAACTTTGTTTAACTATGTGAAGATATAACTAATAAATATTTTTATTGCTTTTTATCCATTTATTATTCGGTTTAAATTACTAAATAAGTACTAAGGATTCATAACATTTAGTTAATATAGATCATACAGAATATAATCGTGTACTATTGTTACTTTATGTTATACTAGCTACTTGCCACGGTTTCACACAGGTCTACATGTATTATATATATAAACCTTCCTCTTGAATCACTCCGAACAAAATCCGTTGCGTAGTTTTAAAGATTTAAGCATACACATGGACAGACAGCGACAGCGACTTTATTTTATACTATGTAAAGATGATTATGTTATCTAAGGGCACACATATGTTATGATATAAAATTAACTGACAGTGAAATGAGAAACTCATTAAAAAATACAAGCACACTCTACTAAAATGTTCTACATCCAAAAGAATGTTAAAAAGTTAAAAACCAAAATCGCCCGTACGAGGAAAGTCCATCTGTCTGTCTCCTAATGAGCCCCGTATTGTTCCCGGGTTAATCCTGGTCATCGCGTCGGTAGTTAATCCTGGCGTAATCCCGGCACAGTCCGGGATTGTGCTGGGACAGGCGCTCGCTTGGTCGACCGCTTCTAAACCGAGCCGAGGGAAATAAAATGTTCCTAGCGATTATTATTAAGTAGGTGCTTACTTTATTTCTTTCTTGTTTATGTTTTCCTAGTAATATTGTGGGCAAACTAATGAAGTCGACTAATTTATTTAAATATTCCTTCTACCTTCGTAAAACCGATATAAAAGGATGATGAAAACATTTTTTTTTCTGTATTTTGGCAACAGATAGTGTTCCATTTTATACGCTGTCAACACTATTCTCCAACCTCTATGTTTTAATTTTTTTTGTCTATGCTTTTTCTCTCTAAAAAAACTGTATTGTCATGGCCGTCTAAAAAATATACACGAATACATTAAGAAGACTTTATTTTCATTACCAAAACTTACCTGACGAGAGAGCTAAATCCACAACATGGTCAATACGAGCCGGATCTAAGGAATTTAAGGGAAGTGATCAGTGATCGTTTATGGAAATTATTTAACCCAATACTCTTTTCATTCAGGTTATACTAGCATCGCTTTATCAATTTAAATTTAAAAATAAGCAGAAACAAGGTTTGTCTGTCATAATTAACAGTATTATTTGTTGTAATCAGGTTTCCTTCGCTTATTCAGTGGTGTTAGTACTTATTTGGTAAGAAAATATTGTAAACCGGCACATTGATAACCTCAAAATTCATTTCGAATTTTCATTGTCAAATTACGTTATTTGTTTAAAATTCTAGTATTCAATTGTAATTTTATTTGACAGTTTGTGTAATTACAAAAATAAGATAATTATATATGCACAAGTAAAATATTGTAGCATTTAAGTCCTACAAAAACAAAATATATAGTGTTTTGTCATTGTTATTGTCACCTGTATGTAAATTTCGCTATTTATTAAACTTGTCAATTTATTGCTTTAAAAGTAAAAGCTTTGTGTTGTTTTTTGTATAAAAAATATATTATAGTTTTCTTATTACTGTCTTAATTATTATTAGTGCTGCTATATTGTACATCAGTGAACATATTTGTATACTGTATCAATCCTTCAGTCACAGATATTTATGTAAAATACTAGTCAATTTCTTATGTTTACATTTCTAAATTCCAGTTAAATAAACCCATTACCAGAGAACCCCAAAATGTCAGAAAGGGAAGAAAAGGAACTTATTAAGAAAAGAGCTAGTTTCAAGGGACGGTTAACTGGGTTTGCTAAATACATCAATGACTTGAGAGATACATTAA